CCAACTCAAAAAAAAAAAAAAATTGGGTGGACATAAATAGCACACATTTTATGTTGAAGTTTAGAAAAAACGTGTTCATTACATTATTAAACATAATCGAATATATGAATATATACATCCCAAATTACCACAGTGTTATTACTTGCACAGCATTTGACTTGGAAACACAGCTAAGGTGTTTGAGTTTCTGAAGTAGAAACAAGAATTTGTAACCTGATTATCCAACTATAAGGTGATTCCACAATTTCGGGCCCTGGAGCATGGATCCTAGTCCAAAAAGATAACACTCTGATTTCTGAAAAAGGATGTGTTTTCCCTTTGTTCTTCCATGGGATTAGTTTTGGAAAGGGAATATAAGAACACAAAGAGGGTGGGTCAGAATGGGTTTTTTTTAAAAAGCACTTAGATTTCATCAACTCTAGACTATTACTCTACCCTAGCTTTGAACTAAACCTATGCAGTTTGTTGATGATGAGTCAGCCAGAATAAGAATACGCTTTATGCATTTGGAGTCTGATCAGTATCTCTTTTGTGAAGGGAGACCCCATGACTCTCAGCAAGTTCTGTGCTGGATGCTGAGGGTTCATGAGGACCCAGGGCTACCCCTGCAATTCCTTCCCGAAGCCCACCATGGTCGGAAGCCAGCAGGTCGGTGGGATGGTCAGGCAGCTCCAGAGCTGTTGCTGTTTTGCTCAAGGCACACAGGATGCCACCACACATGGGGAGACTATGCTGGGAAAGGAACAAGTCACACTCCTGCATGCCCACTTCCAGACTGAACCAGCCCACTTGCATGGCACCTTCTGCCACGTTCAGGCTGGCTGCCTTACTTCACCAAAAAAAGAAGGAATTTCTGTTTCAAGCATTTTCTACCAAAACTGCAAGCAACAACACTGAATTTCTCAACACATTCTTCGATTTTATTCAAATGTTTTCCCTTCCTTCTCTTCCTAGTAGTGAAAAGCACAATTTTAATTAAGCAGGTACTGTTCTTCCTGTCTTTCATACACTCAATTTCTCAGTTTGCATCACAAATTACCTCAGGAGTGTGACATTACAGTGTGCTCTTCTATGGCATCTACAAAGAAAAATTGGGGTAGGAAAGAATTTGGGAACATGTGATATTAGAGGATGCTTTTCAGAATTTCAGTATCTTCAAAGAGTTAAGTATTCACAACATCTACCCTACACAGCTAGTATAGTGGGGAATAAAATTTCTAAAAATATATAGAAATCTCTGGGGATGTAACGTCAAATAATTTTAAGGCTTTTAATGCCAAGAACACATGTGGGGTGGTTATTATAGGATGACTAAGAAAAAATATACACATATATAAAATTTTTTCTACCTGCACATTACACAAGAAATTTTCACTATCTAGATAAGTGTTGTTTAGAAAGAAAACAGAAGCCATGTCTCATTGTCCCCAGTACAGTCCGGGGCCCTCTAAGATTCACTCCCATCAAGATGGGCCTCCCTCTCCCATCTTACTCCAGCAGCCTGAACAATGTCTGCATGTGAAAGGCCTAATAAGTATCTGAACGAATGAATGAAGCCAAGGACAGGTGTATAAACAGTGCAAAGTGGAGTCCCTGCCCTCGAGTGGTGTACAAAGGACTTAGGAAAGAGCACCAGAACAGGAAATCCCAGTAAGGAGCTGCCAGCAAGTGAAAGGTGTCCCTGGACCAGTTCCAAAGCACTGGGCTCAGAGGAAGTGGACAGAGGAAAGAGACAGCCAAAAGCTCCTCCCCTCACACCTTAAAGACACTCGTAGAAATCAGCAGTGAGGTCGGGCAAGTGGCTCACATCTATAATTCCAGCACTTTGGGAGGTCAAGGTGAGAGGATTGCATGAGCCCATGGGTTCAAAACCAGCCTGGGCAAGTTGGCGGGACTTCATCTCTATAACAATAAAAAAATTAGCCAGGCAATGTGGGGCGTGCCTGCAGTTCCAGCTACTTGAAAGGCTGAGATGGAAGGATCTCCTGAGCCCAGCAGGTTGAGGCTGCAGTGGCCATGAGCGCACCACTGTACTCTAACCTGGGCAACAGAGTGAGACTTCGACTCAAAAATAAAAATAAAAAAATAAAAGGAAAGAAATCAGCAGAGTAGTGTGCCTCCGTGTAGATATCCCAGCCCTACCTGACACTGATGGATGCACACACAGTGCAGACTGCTCCAGGGCCACTCTGGAAGCAGCCCATGGGATAGACAATGGCCTCTGCAGAACAATTACCACATAGACAATGGCCTCTGCAGGACAACTGGCACCTTAACACACACCCAACATCCCAACCATTCAAAGCATACTTTTCAAAAGTCAGAAGACATCACTCACGTGAACAGTAATTAGAGGGGAACTCAAGACAGGGACACCACAGGGGAGCACTAGAGCATCCAGGGTTCATGGTCCATCAGCACAGGCACACTAACATTCACTTGTGAAGTTGGAGACAATAAAGCCACAGCTGTAACACTTACCTTTACCAGAGATAATTTGCATCTCTACAAGACAAACCCCTACAAGTTAGCAAATCCCTACAAGTTAGCATGTAACATCACAGTGTTTGCATTCCAACTGAGATTAAGCAGCAAAGTCAGAGGAACTTTGG